TCTTGTGAATGGCGCCAGGCGCCCTATCTACTCTACGGACTAAGCCTACAACTACAGCAATGAAAGCAACCAGACAACTTGACTACCAGCGAGTGATGATGTCAACACCAAATGCCGACCTCCACCTCCCCCAGGTACGTGTCMTCTTCACCCACACTCTCCCTTGTTACCCACACAGCGCCCTTCACCTCCGAAGAACCACCTTCGCCCTCACCTCCCCTGCGCCCCATGCAGCCCGGCTATGGCCGCCAGYGCACAGTGCACAGGCAGCGCCCTATCGCCTAGCGCCTGCCTGCCTCGCACCTCTTCCTAGCGCAGCAGCAGCTCGCATTTGCGCAGCGTGCCGGCAATGCTCGCATTGGCCAAGATCCCCGCCCACTCGCCCTGCTTGCCTATATGCCAGTGCTGCGTGTGGGCGGCCTCCCTTCAGCCTGCGACTGGGCCCCAGTGGCTGAACCCAGCCCGATACAGTTGAGGCCCGGGGCAATGCAGTTGCGCCTCTTTCATCAAGGCCTGCGGCTAGATTCAGATAGTGGGTCGATTTTCCCTTTGGCATTTTCGGCCTCTATCCCCAGCATGCATTGTCGGCCTCACGTTCAAGTGCCCAGGGCCTAACTAACTCAGAGGCCCTGGGATCTCCACATTTGCAGAGATTCAAGACTCGGTGCACTCCAACCAACTGGCGTGCTGCAACTGTATGGACCCCACTTCGGGAAATGTTTGCACAGAGGGCTCTTGTTGATTTGCTGGCCCGCCTTCACATAGGGCGGGCACTAGGCTTGCTGGGGCCTTAGCCCAGAACATGTACATCATGGCAAGGCCCCTTCTTGAGGGCTCAATCCTCACAGTTGTGGCAAATACAGCTATAATGACCGGGCGTTATATTCGGGTGAAGACGGTAGTCTTCCGATTAGCAATAGTACGGTGAAGGAGGTGTTTAGGACAGCCAATTACGGGGAGATAGGAGGCGGACACGACAAAGTAGAGGGAGATGTTTGAACTTTGAAACCACTCTCAAGTGTTTGTCAGCTGATCAGGTAACTGCCGCATGACCAGTGGATGCCCATGATGGATCGTCGTGTGGACCGCCATACGTGACGGGATCTGTCGTTGTTTTTTGCTTGAGTCCTGCTCTGCCTCTGCAGTCATTTGTCATTTGATCTTCCTAGACGAACTCACCAAGTTCTCTCTTGCGTCAAACGATAGGGTTGGGATGTGCATCTGACCTAAAAGCTGATCGAGCCCATTGGATGTGACTTCCATCTCCGTCGGTTCCTTCGCCTGGGACCACGTTTCTTTCTCCACCTCTTCCCTGTGGATGGTTTTCATTTTTAACTTTTAAGGCATTTCCTTGTCTAACGTGCCCATAATGTAGCTTTCTGGATGAGGTTTAAGTACCGTTTAATCCTGTTTTGGCTGCTCCGCAGATGGTGTCAGGAATATTGATGAACAGGTAGACATGAAGTGGCGGGGAGGGGACTGGGGAATGGGGGGGAATGGAGATGAGAATAAGGAAGTCCATATCCCCTTGGCTTCGTCCCCACAGGGTCGGGCCTCTGGACAGGCCAGCGGACCGTGTCACAAATCTTCTATTTTGTTTTCTTCGCACATTGCACAGAAATCAGTGCCGATAGGTTCAAGATTCAAATGTTTCCTGCGTCCGGGTACCCCCTGGTTCACTCGGAGGGCCAAATAGGCCAGCCATCATCCATTCCCGGCTGCGGAATCGGACGGGCCTAATAGTTACCTGACATTTTCCCCAGTGAATGGTGGTCACAGATCAGCTGCAGGTTGTCCTAGAAGCCTTGACCCTCTTTCTGTAATCACGGGGCTCGTACCACCGGTTCACCCAAACCAGAGTAGGGCTCTTTACCGGCGGTATACCCGGTACAAGCTTTTAAATTCAGGCCTGGGCTGGTAGTGAACGCCGCAGGCCACTTTGAAAAGGCGCAGTCCCAGGCTCTCACTAGCCTTGGAAGGTAGCTTTGTCAACTTTAAGTTAGGCCCGTGTGAACTGCCATGGCGATATCGATATCTCAAGGCCATCACCATTTTTTCTTTTTGAAAAAGGGGAAGAAGGTCAAAGTTATCATCAAACCAAACGGCCTTAGGTAATTCAGAATGATTTTATTCTGGTCATCTGGTGGGTGGCATGTGGATTTGAACCTGGGTCTGTACTTCAATAATTCATGGGTGTATCAGCTGAGCCAGGCCCATTGGTGGGCTTTTATCTTCTTGTTTTCCACCCAAAAGAGAAAAAGGACCCACGAACCAACGGGCCTAGCTCAGTTGGTACACCCACGAACTGTTGAGATGCAGACCCAAGTTCGAATCCAGATACAATCAGATTCCACACAAACGAGNTCTCTTGGGTTTAGGAGGTCTTCCTCGACCCAGCGGCTTCGGAACAGGCATATCCCTGTGATCCACAATGTCGTCGATGTCCACTTGACCATCCATGGTTGGGGGCAGCATCGATCTCCTGGAAGGGAATTGATCTGTCTCAGCGAAAGGTGCAAGCTTTGAGGCATGAGAGACTGGGTGAGTGCGTAGGTGTCCAGGGACACGAATGACATATGTGGGACCATCCATCTCATCTCCCACTATATCCAGGACTTCCCAGGGACCAAAGTACTGAGGCATTAGTTTGCGAGAGATTCCGAATTCCTGTCCTAACTCACTAGCCTTGACCCAGACACGTTCCCCTACCTGAAATGTGGACTGTCTACGGTGTTGATTCTCAGAAGCAATCATTGCTTGCTGAGATTTCTTCATGTGCTCGACAACTTCTTGCAGCAACTTCTCATACTGCACACCATACTCAAGTGTGCCTGGGGTTGCTGCGGGTCGGTTTTCAGGTAGGAGGAAGTCTAATGCTGATCTAGGCTTCCATCCCAAGTGTAGCTGATTAGGACTAACGCCGGTACTGCTATGGACAGCATTGCTGTACAGGCTGGCGATGAGAGGCAACTGCTCATCCCAGTCATCCTGGCTGGGCTTGATGTAATGCCTCAGCAAGTGCTGTACGACTCTGTTCATTTGCTCGGCTTGTTCGTTGGCTTCGGGATGATTCCTTGAAGTCATCTGAAGTTGACTGCCCATCTGCTCTGCAGTCTTCTTCCACAGCTCACTTGTGAATCAGGCATCTCGGTCACTAACGATTGACTTTGGTAAACCAAAGTCGCGCACCCAGTTGTCTTTGAACAACTTGATGACATAGTCGATTCTTGCGGTCTCGGGCATAGCCACTAGTCTAGCGTACTTGGTGAATCGATCGATGATGACGAAGATGTGCCTCTTGCCACTCTTACTAGTCACCAGGGTGTCCATGAAATCCATGGAAACACTCTGTCCTGGACCAGCAGGAATAGGCAAGGGCTTCAACAACCCAAGCGGTGCTTGAGTTCACGACTTGTCCCGCCGACAGACCTGACAGGTCTCTACGTACTTCTTTGCGTCATCTAACATTCCTGGCCACCAAAATCGCTGTACTAGGTTAGCACTCGTCTTCTTGTAGCCAAAGTGTCCAGTTGCGTCATGACATTCGCCTAAAAACAAACTACGCAATCGCTCACTAGATGGAACTACTAATCTTTTTATTACGGCCTATCAAGATAGAGTAACTCGTCCACCATCACAAACACACTTTTTGTGGCCTTGTCTTTAGCCTGAAGTTTGCGCATGATGTCCATTGTGACAGGGTCTTCCTGATAGGCTCCCACCAATGATTGAGTTACTTCATCAGATACGCCAAAGTCAGAAACTAGTGAACCTAGGTGGTCTGCTCTACGTGATAGCGCATCTGCAACCTTGTTGTACTCTCCCTTCAGATACTCAAGCTTGAAGTCATATTGGTCTTTGACCTCAATCCACCGCTTGAGTGCGTCAGAAAGAGTCAGTTGAGTCTTGATCCATTTGAGGGTCTGATGATCAGTCCTCAAGTAGAAGAACCTTCCCAATAGGAAGTGTCTCCAATGGACAAGTGCTTTATATAGGACTTTGCCAACTTCTTTGATGGCATCTTCTTACTCATCACTCCAGTCCCACGGCGTGTCAAGTCGAGTTAGATCTGTCAAAGGAGAGACGACTGTAGAATAATTCTTTACAAAGTTCCTATAGTAGCCGCACATTCCTAAGAAAGATCTGACCTCAGTGACAGTCTGAGGTCGTGGCCAGTCTCGAATACTAGCCACCTTCGCATCTTCCGGCCTAATCCCTTCCGCGGATACTTCATGACCCAAGTATAGTATCTTAGTGCGACCAAACTCACACTTCTCTAAGTTGACCTTATACTTGTGCTGTCGAAGGAGTGAAAGTACCGTCTCAACATGCTGTGCATGCTCCTCGGCAGACTTACTAAAGATCAGAATGTCGTTTAGATAGACCACTACAAACTTATCTAAATGGTCATGGAAGATCCGATTCATAGCGTGCTGGAATGTTCCCGGCGCATTGCAAAGACCAAAAGGCATCACTACAAACTCATACAGACCATAACGAGTCTGAAAAGTTGTCTTGTGTTGGTCCTCAGGCCTTATAGGGATCTGATGATAGCCGGATTTCAAGTCTATCTTGCTATAGTACTTGCATCCCTGCACCCTATCCAATAGGTCGTCTATGCGAGGTAGAGGCTTTGCGTTCTTCACAGTGATGGCATTGAGGCCTCTATAGTCAATGCACATCCTCAATGTACCCCCCTTCTTTGGTACGAATAGCACGGGAGATCCGTAAGGGGAAGTACTAGGCCGAATCCATCCCTTATCTGTCAGCTCCTTAAGCTGTCGCCGAAGTTCATCTAACTCAGCGGGAGCCATCCTATAGATCCTTCCCTTTGGGGTCTTACTCCCTGGAATGATTTCTATAGCGTGGACAACTTCCCTTTCAACAACTCCTGTGGGCTCTTCGAACAGATCAGGGAACTTAGCAACGACGCGTTCTATCTCTGGGGGTGTTTTAACGGCCTCCCCTTTCTTAGAGACATACACAAGGTACATACCTTCCTCTTGGTTTTGCTTATAGTAATTGTAGAACGTTGATGCACACAAGCAGCCATAGGTATCTATAATACTACTGGCCTTGACTCCTTGGTTGGCCCTTCCCTCGGCCACCTGCCTTAGCCTTTACAACTGCGGCGAGGGTGCTACCCTCAGCGGTCTCCTCACCGTCGTAGTCCATTAGGTCAGTGAGCTCATCGATTTCCGTTTGAGTCCCATCGGACTCAACCATCATCAACTTCACCCCCGTCTTCTTCCACTCCTGAGGACTCTTCTTCTTCTTCGTGTCGTTCTGGGAGGGTTGAGCATTGCTTAGAGTGGCCTCCAAATCTAAGGCTTTCCTAGACAATGTCTCAAACGAATGGTACTCGACGCGTGCCTCACTGGCTAGCAAGTTCCTGATGTTCTCTGGAAGACATCTAACAAACGTAGTTAACGGGAACTGGTCACTGTAGTTGATGCCTGAAACGAGGATCAGGCTCTCAACGGTAGTCGCTCTAACCGACTTGAACTTTCGTTGGTCTAACTTGTTAATCGCATCAGTGGCTCTTTGTGCCTCCTGTGGATTATGCCATCGAGCTTCTACCATCTCCATGAACAGGTCTAACGCTAAAGACTTAGCCCAGTCCGCCATGCGTCGCCCGTACCCGACTTTTACAATTACACCATCTAGCCATTTGGCTGCCTTACCCTCGAGGTAAGAAGCAGCGGTAACCACTTCGTCCTCCAACAAGGTCCTCTTGGCCTTCACCCAAAACGGGATTGTCCTCAACCAAGTGTTGAGCTCTTCGTCCTTTCTCTCGCCTGAGAAAGCAAGAGGCAGTTTCATTGGGGTCTTAGGGTACCATTGACCTTGGTGCTGTGCCTGTTGAGGAACAGGTTGTTGCGGTGGTGTAGCTCCCACCGCTGGACCCGAAGAAGAAGATGCAACAGTCTGTGCGACTGCTGCAGACGTACCACTTGGCTGTGTACCAGCTTGAACTAGAAAGGGGCCTGACATCGCCGATAACGGCAACGACGATTGTGCTGGTGGCCGGAATCCTGGCCTTGTCAATACATCCAGGATCTGGTCTAGAGTGCTCTGCATGAAGTCTAATCTGCTGTCCACGTGTGCATGCAACGACAGCATATTCTTCTTTAGTGTTTTCATTTGGTCATTCATTGATGACTCATCCAAGCCCTCTAACTCAGCATTGTCAGCCTGGCTGCTCTATTTTTCATCTCTCTTTCTCTATCGGTTGCTTTCTTCAGATCCCTCTCTAACTGTTCACGGGGCCTTTCGACCTGTTGGATATCTCTGAGCTCCCTCTCACGTGGGGTCAACGGGCTGAACTGCGAGCCCGCCATTTGACTAGTAGACTGTCGAGAACCCATTGAACTGGAAGTGCCCGTGCAACTTGTTGGCATTCCCAACATGGTCCCATTGGTCGCAGACGAAGATGCAACCGAGGATGCT